AAAATAAAATATTAATGACGGCTGCAAACTTTTTAAAAATTAATTTACAACAAATAATACAAAAGCCGATAAAAATGCAAGCAAAAGAGGATATGCCGCTATGTTACGTATCAAAAAAGGCAAAATCCTGCTGCTAGAAGATGCTTTCAGGCTAATAGTTTTGAAACTTTTAATGGGTCAAAACAAAATAAAATATCATCATATATAAACATATTGGGATGAGTGAAAAAGATCACTACTTTCTAGTCGAAAATTATTACTTAATTTATTGCCCACCAATTATTTGTTGAACCTAAGAAATGATGAATAGAATTTTATTATAAAAATATTTTTTGCATATTGTTCATTGTTATACCTTATTCGTCATAATATTAATACAATTGGTTTTATGCGTAGCAAATTTTTATTTGGTTTTAAACGATTGAAAAATTTTCGCTTTTTGTTTGGTCGTTTGTAACAACTTTGGGTGGGTCATTAAGTATAAGTAATATTCTCCTTGTCGTGAAAAGTTTACTCATTGCAAGATAGTTTTTTTCTTCATTTGATCATTCATTTCTAGATTGTGTAAAAATTGTTAAACTATGGAAAAGTTTTGAAAATGAGCAATGGCAGCACTAAATTGAAGTGAATGAAAAAAACTGTGCGGAAAAAGCTTGAAATGATAGTAATTTTGAATGTGATGCATTAAATTTCATAAAAGCACAAAAATAAAGTAATTACAATAACACGAAGCAATAACATAACGCATTGAAAAGTTTTGCTCACCAACGAGGAATAACTTTTGATTAATGGTCGTTCAATAACTTTTGATTAATTGCTTATATTAGTAGTATTCGATTTTTTTTTTTCAATTTGAAAGAAGAAGGAAGAAAAAGGGAAGGAAAGATTATTTGAAAAATTTTCCATCGCAAAAACGAAAGATTAAAGAGAAAATTTGATTGCAAAAGAACTGGAAAATCACGCAAATTTTTTCTTTTACTTTAATGAAAACTAAATTTCTTTAGTTTTAGCATTCAATTTACAATTTTATTTGAACTGAAATTGAAAAAAAAATCCTTTTTTATATAAATTTGAGTGCAAGAAAACAATAAAATGGTCAATGTCATTTTTAAAATAAACCGTTAGCAAGTGAAGCGATAGGCAATGGCATTATAAATTTGGGTTGCAAAATAATTAAATAAGGATAAAAACTTTAGAATTATTTACTACTGCTTAATATTTAAGTCATCAAAGTACCAGAAATTTTCAAATACAATAAATTGCAGGTCAAAATACTGAATTTAATTTTTAAAATTTGTCATGATGAAAAAAAAACGCAAATTTTCAATGATATGATTTTCCACAATATTTTTGGCCAATTTAAATATTTTGATTAAGTTTTCTCCCTAATTGTAATGGTTTCTTTCAAATTCTATATGCTTTTTAACTGATTCAAATGAATACTGCGAAAAATAAATCAAGCTGAACATAACAGAAAATGGTAAAACAGGTATTTTATTTTTCATCAATTTAAAATAATAAATTTCTTTGGTTGAGCTAAAGACCTCAAAAATAATTTGAAATAAAAAAAAATGAGCAAAGTCATTTCTAACACCTATCATTTAGTACAGAATTTTGATATTTGGTTTAGAAACTAAAATTGAAATGCAACAATCCTGTTTTAGAAAAAATACTGTTTCGAAGAAATGCACTCTTCACCAATTATTCTAAAATTGTAATTAAGTGGAAATTATGAAAGTGAGAAAGATAAAACAAAAGATAACAAAAATACTTTAATTTATCAATTATTTCATTCATTGATAATAATTGCTAAAATCAATGTGACGCACATTTTTATTTTCAAATTCTTCTTATTGCCAAAAAAAAGTTTGAAAAAAAATTGAATGCCATTGTGAAATTATATTAAAGTAATAAAGAGAAATATTGCTTAATGGAAAATTTGTTTTATCGATAGAATTTGTCAAAAGAATGAGGAAAAAGTTTTTTTTTTTCCCTTATAAAAGGCATGCATGAAAGGCTGTAATATAATATCGAAAAAAAAACATGAAATATCTTAGAAGGCAAATAACATTGAAATGTTAAATTAGAAAACGAATCATTTATTTATCTTTTTGATATCTTTTCGATTTTTCTTTTTTTTTGAAACAGATTAAATATTGATGAATCAGCTGATAGCTAAGCTAAATTCATCCATCAAATGTTTCGATCGCATAGCTATCATGTGAGTTAACTTTTTCATTCTTTTTTTCGATTATTTTCAAACAAAAACAATTTTGATTTGAAAATAATTTATTAATTTACTGGCAATTATTTCGAATGTCATAATGGATTTATTTGCTATTAGTTTAATTTCTCATTTTATAATAATTTAAATTAAAAGATTACTACTTTTATACATGTATCGTAAGGAAATGAATTAGTATGATTATTCCTAGCTATTTCAATATCTTTTGATTGCAGAAATATTTGAAAAAATAAATTTGTTTACTTTCATCAAAAATAATTATTCATCAAACTAAGTAATATAATTTACAGAAATAAATGCTTATTAAATTATTAAATAATATTTGCAGTAAAATATTTTTCTACCAAACATATACTAAATATTTTGATCTATTTTACTGGTTAATTTTTTTGAATACAAAACATTTAGGAAAAAGAATATTTGCATAACTGTAAACAATTATCTTCTACCTCAAAATTGATATGCTTTTCAAAATTAAAAAAAATAAAAACAAGGTCAAATCTTATCAATTTTAATATTTTAGAAAATAATGAAGAAACTACCATCTATCGATTAAAATCATTTATTATTCTATTAAATTCAGATAAATGATGAAATTGCGAACTATTGGCCAAAGTTATCTATTGTTCTATCGCATTCTAATGAATTAAAAATTACCAGCTATCGACTAAAATCAAAATTCAAATCAATGAAAAAATTTCCAATCATCGGTTTATTGTTTTATTGAATTCAAATTAGTGAAGAAATTACCAATTAACAGTTAAAATCACTTGCATGTTTCATATGAATTAAAAAATTGAAAACTTTTCAATTCTCATCTGATTTAATTAGAACTTTTTTTCTCATGTCTAAAATATTTCATCAATAAGAAGCTATTTTTGAAAAGAGCGACACAAACGCACATACACACGCGTACACACACATACACACACATACATACACACACACACACACACACACACACACACACACACACACACACACACATACACGCACACAATTAGATGTGAGGAAAGGATTACGAAGAAGGAAGTTAATATGAAGCGCAAAAACCGGAATGGTGTACCAAAAAAACGGACTGACGTTGAATGAATAAATTTAAATAATCTTTAAGCTGAAAATTGCACAAAAGTTTTCATTCCCTAATAGTACGAAGTATCATTTCGTGACGATATTTTTTTATAAAAACAAAAACAGAAAGTTTTTATTTAAATGACATTTCCTAAATTATTTATGAAATTTAACTAATCACCATAATTATGGTGTTAAACATTTGGAAACAAATTGTATGCTTTAATTTATGACAAATATTCTTAAAATTTTTTTTTTTTGTTTTTTGTTTTTAAAATTGTTTCTTCAAAAATATTGTGATTGCCGTGTACAAAGATCAAGAATTAAGCTATAAACGTATGTTACAAATTTAAAATATGGTGAAAAGAAGTATCAGAGTTTTAAAATAGAATGGAAAATCTTACCAATACTAAAACTCAAATATTCATTAGCAAAATTTTATAGGATCGAAAATTTTGATAATCAAATATTTTGCCATACATAATTTGTATTTTTAGTAATTGTAAATAAACGTACTGTTTGCAATCATTTGCCCATCTTCAATTTTCCAATATTTTCATTCCTTTCCATTTACAATTTCTCCATCATTGATGATACATTTCGTGCGCAAAAGTGTAAACTTAACAGCACTCGAACAGTTTGCAATGTTTAATTCGTGCAATGTTGGTGCAAATAATTTACATATGTGAGAAATTTTAATAGGATTTCACGTCAATTCAAAATATTTACTGTATTTCTATAAAATGTATTGAAAATATTGAAATGGATAAAATATTTACTGCCACAAATTAAACATGTTAGGAATTTAATTGAATAACGAATAAAATTAGTAGTGGAATGTTAACAATGGATGAAACCTAGTTTTTCTGACATTTTAACATATAAAGTTTAATAATTTCGAGAAATAGCAATCAAAAAATCTCTTGGAAATTAGATTATGCATCAATCATCGTTGCAGTTACTGATCATATATTAGAATAGATTGTATATTAATTTTCCAGAAATGGATTCCTGACGTGCTAATACAATTGTTTCTTACGTATGATTCTAAATGATTAACAGTATTTTCTTTGAAATGTTTCTAAATACATTACACATGCATTATTGATTGCGGAATTTTGAATGGTTACATATGTTTCGAAAAGGATAAAATTGTCGTTTAATTATGTTTTTTTAAGAAATTAACTTAAAAAACGTCACTTATTGATTAGGCACTAAAAAATCTGATATTGAAAAGTTTTGTGGGCATTGATTGGCATTGAAAAGTAATTCAAAATATTATGTCTATT